CGTCCTGCATCACGTGGTCCTGCGCCGGGTGACGCCGTGCCCGCGATTCCCAGGCGGCAGCATGGCCTTCCGACCGCGGCTGACGCTAGCGCACCAGCCATGTTTGTTGAGGGCACCTGGCTTCTCCACAAGCGGTTCCCAGAGCTCACAGCTACCGGGCCGGCCGCAGAAGAGCAGCTGGGACCGAGCGCGCAGAGCTGGCCTCACCTCATTCCCACTGGGGCACTAGTTGCTCGATCCCCAGGGCCCCAGGCCTGCTAACCCGCGCGGCCTACCACTAGTTACCTGGGCTGGAATCAGTGCGTTTTGGTGGAGAAAATGTCATGGATGCACCCAACTCTCTTACTCCCGCTAACCCGAGCTCAAACCCCTACCGAGTGCCAGACAATGGTTGTCTTGGGGTGGGGTGGCGGAAGGCTCATTTTAACATTAGAGGAAACAGGATGGAGGCTTGGCAAACGCGGGAGCTGGGATTTCTGACTCCAAGCCCTAACGCTTTCCACTACACTATCCTGGGATTTCCATAGAAAGTGTGACACTGTAGAGAAGTGCTAGCCTTTCTGAAGAGATCAAGTGATTGGGTGGCTTCTGGGGGAGAAATTCCTATTAGCCTAGTAGAGTTAACCAAAGTCACCGACAAAGATTAGGGCTTTGATAAAGCTAATACTAAAAAATAAGACTTCGTTAAAATTAATCCTGTGTATGCCTACTCCTTCCTCAAACCTTACTTAAATACCAGTAAAAGGCTAAAAAAGGCATAAGCCCACAAAAAAACAAAAGAACAGAAGACGACTTCCCATGAGGTATGTCAACACATTATTTGGAAGACAAGCAGTAACATTTGACGCTAACTATATGGCAGGAAGTGCTCTCTTCTCACATATTAATTTATTCAATCCTCTTAACCTAAAATGTGGATGTATTTTACAGGTAAGTCCAGAAAGGTTATTTAACCCAGCCAGCCTCTCTGCAAAAGGGGTTAGCTGAGTGGATAAACTGCAGTGATTCAGGACGCAGAAATCCAGGACATCTTTGGAACCCCAGATGCCTGGAAGGTAGAAAGGAGGGGTGAGGCAGGATTGAAGTGGACATTGCCTGAACATCTGTGACATGAGCAAACATACGGGCCTCTCTTCTGTCCAGGGCAGCTGGGCAGTTACCTGTCCTTCCTCAGGCAGAACACTGGAGTTTATAATGCTTAAGATGTGTAACCACGGAGGTTCTAGACAATTATGAAGAGCAAAACTTTTTCCACAGAACGGTGAATGCTATCAGGCCTTCCTCTGCCCTTCCCAGAACTCTGGCTCTCGTCTCTTGTTCCCAGTTTTTCTCTGGAGAAACTCAACAAATGAAAGACCTTAGGGAAATGATTTACAGATCCTGACATTAAGCAACCCCCAGTAAATAGATTCGGGACTCACTCACAAATATAACACTTCCAGACACTTTTCTGTTTGGAATTTGAAGGAAACATTAAGCCAAACAAAACAGTTTTTCAAAAGATTTCATCCATGAACCAAGAGGACTTCAAGGGGAGATGACAATATAGGAACTAGTTCTTCAAAATGTAAACTGGTATCAGTACAGGAGTATGAAGAGTGGGTAAAAGTCTACCACAAAGTATAATAAAAAGGCAGGTGAAAAAATATAGCAAAAACAAAGAAACAATTTCTCAAATATGAGAAAATTTACCTAAACTGAAAGATGTTTCTCAGTGATAAGGAATACTGAGCACTCAGCACAATGAATGTTAAGAAACCTACACAAAGGCACATTATGAAATTTCAGAACACTGCAGATAAAAGACCCTAAGAGCTGTAGAAGGCAACCAAGTTATAAACAAAGGATTTGGCATCATACATCTACAATAGCATTAGGCTTATCAGCAACAACAGGGTCCAGAAGGGAGCAATTGCCTTCAAAACATGGAGATAATTTTTAACCTACAATTTTTAAACCCAGGCAATCAAGAGAGAATCGTTTCACACAAGCAAATAGCCTGGCTTAGAACAGGAAGACAAGACAGGGTTCCAATAAAGAGCTTCTTGGAAGTGTGTTGTCCTGGAAGGTGTTCAAGGATTAGGGAGAGAATCGTTAGATTACCTGACAGCCGATATAGGAAGGAAAATGATCTGCAGAGGGTTTTACAATCCTTCTGGGGGTTATCTGGTAAGAATTAGTGACAGCTACACAGAAAACAATGCAAACAAAAGTGAGGCAATTATCACTTCCAGGAAAATTATTTAGGAAATGTAATCTTAGTATACTTACCCATAATAAAGGCCTTTTAGACCAAACATTGTGACCTAATTAAGGCAGAGAAATTGAGGGTGGTACAAGTTTGAAATTCTCATGTTGCAGAATAAAAGTTTACACAGTAGGCAAATTTCAGAAATCCAGAAATAACTGTACAAGCCTATTTTGCAATGTGGAATTGAGTAGTTGATGGAATACCTAAAAAGGTTAAGCATGATCTAATGCAAGAAAATAGCATTTGATGAAGTGTTAAGTTACCTTATTTTATGCTCAGGAAGAATCAACTTACCTGGCAGCCGTAAAGCGCTGGTTCTAAGTCTTTAAGAGCAGGTAAGGGAGGAGTCTGAAGGAACCACTGAGGTAATGTGACATTAATACAGGAGCACTGGACTGGATTTCAGATGAGCAATCTAAACCAAGGAAGCATACCAACTCTTCTATGTCCTTGTGCAATTCACTATCAGTTGCTCATCTTGGCAATAGGGGCTGAGGAAGCTTTACCTCCATTGGCAAGGAGACACCTGATGAAGGTGAGGTTAAGGACTGAGGGTTGTCTCAGTTCCACCTCATGAACATCAACTGAACAGATGAAAACTCCTTTAATCACCCGTATCACCTCCGGGGGCCCAATCAGCACTGGGTAATTAGAAGTATTAGTTTTCTTCCTCATTCTCCCTTTCCTTTGCAACTCCCTCCTGCTCCCACATTATATGAATTGTAACCATTTCCATGTTTCATTGCTAATAAATTGCGATCTTAACTTCATGGTTTAGTGAGGAACTGGAAAAGAGAAAGGACATAACAAGTAGAGGCAAATATTTTAAGTGAGAAGATACAAACTGGACCAAGAATGGAGAGGAGCTACAAACATTAGGAGCATTACAATGAGTAGATTAAAAGATGCTGAATTCCACAGGCTAGAAATGAGTTTTACCATGTTTGGGGATGAAATGGCTGGCTAGACCAAACAACTGAGTTTCCCAAGAACTAGGACAAAAAGGAGAGGCTAATTTAAAGGTCAATGGAAGAATAAACTGAGAACAAAGAGAAAAGTGTTCTAAACCACTTCAAGTGAACAGGGCCTTGCATTTAATGGGGCGAGAGGCAGAGAACAGAATATGAACACAACTCTGCTTCAGTGCTTTTCCTTCCTTTATTCTGGAGAACTTATTCTACAGTAAGAACCCACATATGCTTTCTGACCTTAATATATATATATGCCTTTACTCTTCCCTTTTTTTAATGGTATTATTTTGGCATCCCTGTTTTTTTAATATTGGACATTAGAAAGGACCTAAGCAAATTCAAAGGCAGGCTAAACTTTCAGAGTATTTAAATCAATAACCTGAGCAAGGCCTTTCACTTTTATCAAATTCGGTCCTCAGAAAATCCTGAGACTATTATCCTGTGCAGTCACTAGGTCAGTAAGTGGCAGAGCTGAGACCTGACCCCAAAAACCATTCCTTTTTACTACCCTCTTTCTAGTGTGCTGATGTTACAATATACCATAAGTCTGTAAAGAGAGATTATTAGTTAAAGCCTTCAAGACAAACATCCTGAAACAGAAGGTCAAGCTGCCATCTCTCACCTCTCATAACACTTCTGCCACCTATAATAAGCCACAGGTATTAGAGAGATGCTAGACAGAACTGAGAATCTTGACAAAAATACTCCAAGGCTCTTTTCCCCTAAATGTGGCTAAATATTAAGCAAAATTTTTTTGAGCTTCACTTAAATCATGGAACAACTGCCTGCTATCTCTTTATTAATAAGAATGGTATTCATAAACTTTCCTTATGTTCTGTGAGCCAGACTAATGATATAAGCCTCAAAAAACAAATAAAACTAAGCACTACGGCTTCATATTTAATTAAAACAGTGTTCAGATATCCCAGTATTTGCTTGGTTGTATCAGCCTAAATTTTTAATTAAAGTTATGATTATACTGAGATTATACATTACAAAATAATACCATTAAAAGAAGGGAAGAGTAAAGCATATATATTAAGGTCAAAAAGCATATGGCCTTAAGCCATAGTTTGGACACTTAAATATTAGGATTTTATTTCAAGCACTGTAATTCATCCTTGAGTTCTAGAAGAATCTAAGGGGCTCCTTGTACATACATTTATGTACTTGGGATGGAAAAACTCACAGGAATCAGTATGCCACTTTTTACTTACTTATGCATCTCCTACAGGAGACCATTTGGCTTAGCAGTCTTCACAGCTCAGTGCAATCTCAGAGCATCCTAGGGTTTCACTGATCCTACCTCAAGGTGCCTAAAAAATACCTGCTTCCTCCCTTGTCTCATGAATCCACAAAAGTCTGCAGATTCTCCCAACTGTAAAATCAGTGACATTTACCAATATCAGCACTTTGCTTTATGGAAGCATGAACATCTGGTAGTAAAGAGGGCAATAAGATTAGACTTGACAGAAACTGCATGAAGACTGAAGAGCAATTTCACCATTCCATTTTGCAACATAGTTTCCAGAAAACTGTGATAAAAAGCAG